GACGAGAACGAAGAAGAGAAGAAAAATCAAGAGAGAGAGGTAGAAGAAGGAAAGACAAGACAAGGGGAAGAGATGAACGAGGAGATCGGAGAGAGAGAACGAGGAGAAGAGAGAGACAGACGGAGAGAGATAAGACAAGAGACGAGACGCGAGGAGACGAGACACGGGAAGAGAAGAACAGAGAAGCGACACGAGAGAAAAGACAGAGAGAGACGGACGAAAGAGAGGACGAGACGAGAGAGAACGAAAGAAGCAAGAAGAAGAAAGAGATAGATGAAGAGAAGAGGAGAAGAGAGAATCAACGAAGAAGACAGACACGAAGAGAAGAGAACTAGAGAGCACGAGAAAGCAGAGAGGATACGAAGAGGCACGCGAAGAGGCAGAGAGGGAGAGAAGAAAAAGAGACGCACGAAGAGAGAGAAGAGAGAGAGAAAGAGACAAAGAGAGAGAGAAAGAGACAAAGAGAGAGAGAAAGAGACAAAGAGAGAGAGAAGAGACAGAGAGAGAGAAGAGACAAAGAGAGAGAAGAGACAAAGAGAGAGAAGAGACAAAGAGAGAGAAGAGACAAAGAAAGAGAAGAGACAAAGAGAGAGACAGAGAGAGAAAGAGAGAGACAAAGAAAGAGCGACAGAGAGAAAGTTCAGTAATATTCAGTTCCCAAGAAGTCGTTGAAATTTGGCATGAAATAATTAACGAAGAAAGAGTTCATTAGAAGGCATGCCTGTTTTTTCAGGTAATTTTGTGCTTCTCAATATCTTTTGTGATTGTATAATTTCAATATGTACCATATATAACAGTTCATCTTTAAATGGATTTATAGGTAAAAAATTCTAAATGTGTGACCAGTAAAATAAAAATTATGGAATAAACATTTTTTTAAATCTTAATTTAAGAATATTAATCCGATTGTAATGAAGCAAATCTAAGATAGATTAATCTACCATCCTTTCTTAAAAAATCTTGAAGTTTTAATTGTACTGCCTACTTGTGCCTCGCAACCCTGCAAAGCCTTCAAGGGTATTCATTTACTAAGAAATTTATGGGACACCGAAGTTTTCATTGTCATATGCTTTGTTGAATCAATCTGGGACCACCTGAATTTGTTGACTATATAACATATGAATGAGTTTTTCTAACTGGCAAAAACTTCTGACTAAAATTTAGTATATGGTACAACCTAAGCAAGTCGTTTAAACCGGCACTTCATGCCACTCCGGCGAAGGGGAAATAGGCAGTGGAGGAGACGAGGAGTATTAAGGGGATTATGAGGGGAATCTTTCGGTGGGGAGGAGTGGTGAGCAACATGCGTAGGCAATTTAATTAAATTGTAAAAAATACACTTCTGAAATAATTTTAATAGTTCGTAATTGGTCACATACGTAATGTCCAAAGTTAGGAGGGGAGTGCAATTTCACCGTAGTACCTTGTCGGAGCTTCATTACATGGTGGTGCCCAATAGCATTGAAGTTATTTTGTTCTGTCGGGGTAGCTGTCAAAGTGGTTAGCTACATTGCTGTCGTACAGTTAGTTTTCTTGCACCCTCCAGTCTTTGAGTGTCGAGTGTCTGTGCGAAGATGGCGAGAATAAATGTGGCTTTTTTTATGCATTGCGACGAAGGGGGTGTTTGGCTGTTATTGAATGGGTGTGAGAACATGGTTTAATTGTTACACACAGGACACCTAAATCCTGAAAGTGTCCAATAAGTTTGGCCAAGCAAAAGGAGTTGTGAGATGGTTTTGAGTAGAAGTGTAGCAAGAAATGAACCACTCCTCATGTGCAAAAGTGTTCAGAGCAGAAGGGGTCATGGTTCGCAGGAAGCAAGTTGAGTACAATTCAGGTATTAGTAAGGGGTAAATTCAGGTAGTAATACGTTTGGAGGGCACTTCCAAACTCTACGAGCAGTAACAATCAGAAATCGGTAAGTTTTATTCATTTCTACCAGAGCGCTTAGTGTAATTTGAGGGAGGGCTTAAGAAGACTCCCCCTCCCACCGCCACACTTCTCTAAGGGAGTACTGTATACTAAACTTTAACCAAACTTCTTAAAAATTCAACAAAAATATCCAGATAAAGGACAATTACATAATAATAATATAATATTTTAATAAATTAAATGATAAATTACCTTGTAACAACGATACTTGTACAGTACAATTAAGAGAACTGTCATTACCACAATAACTGCCATCAATATGAGAGAATTAGCCAAAGCATTCCAAACTTTGGTACTTGTATCTGGACTATCTTCATGAAAAGGTGTATAAAATCTGTGCAAATAAATCTCAATAAATATTCACCATTTCATTTTCCATATCTTACAATTCTGAAGAAGGCACTTACAAATAAACATCTTTGGTAGTGTAAAAGTTCACTGAACTTATAGTGACTACAACAACAAGCATACATAACGAAACTGGAACAAACAGTTTTATCACATGTTTTGCCCCATATTTAAGCTCTTCCTCTTCTTCATTTTGCCATTCTCCCGGTTGTGAAGGACCAGAATTTCCTCCATGTAATGGCTGAATTACCTGCACATCTGGAACTTGCCCGTTCTCATGTGAAGGTTCTCCCTAAACGGAATAAAAAAAGTGTCATTTTTTGAAGATATAAGAATTAATTTTTCTCCTAATTACATACATACAATGCTGGGTTAAAATCATTAAAGCTTACCGGACTAGACTGGGACGAATACGAAGTCCCAGAGGCTCCAGAAGGGCCAGCACGAGGTTCATGACTTGAACGACCCTTTCTACGCCTGCTCCTCTCGGTTATTGTTTCCCCGACATCTTCAACATGCCCATCCATCAAGCTGGTATATTCAGTCACAAAATCGGCTTCGCAATCAAACATTCACGAACATCAACTAATGCCACTGTATCACACAATGCCCCCTCTTCTTATTATTCAGATAATCAGTTAATCAATTTTCAGGTGACACATAATTGAGATAATAACCAAACGCACAATCAAGCGATAAAGTCACGCCCGTACCCACTGCTCTAAACGAAAAACACTTTGACCGACTTTTGACAGACTGAACAAAGTGCTGGCCAAGAGACTGCGAGTGAACTTGAAGTGAACAAATGACAAATGCAGACAAATGCTGCTGAGCCGTACCCCTTTTGCCGACTGCCTCGGTATATATCATGTATATACTCTCTGCCCTCGGTTCCTATGATGTGATTCGTATTAAAAGCACCCCCACCACCAATCAGCGTTTGTTATATGAATATTTCGTATTCGAAACATGACGCGGTAATACGAAATATATTAAATATTGGATATACGATCAGCTCAACAGACCCATTTCCTGTCTATTATCTCTTCCGACAAAAACTGTTATTTTATTCCAAAAGATTTTTGTATACTACAAGCAAGTGAAATGGATATATGGAGTTTAGATATCACACGATTATTTGTTGTAGTTATTATTGCATATTACTACTACTACTACTACTACTACTACTACTACTACTACTACTACTACTACTACTACTACTGCTATTATTATTATTATTATTATTATTATTATTATTATTATTATTATTATTATTATTATTATTATTTGTACTGAAGTAGTAATTCGATAGGTTTGGGTAATTTAACACGTTTAAGGTTGCCATAAGGAAGACAATTGAACTCAGAACATTCTAAATATATTTTAGAGCAAATTGTTTTTTTATACAACTAAATAGTCACAAATGGTATTTCATGTAACAACTACATTGAATATCAAGATAAATTACATTTGACACTTTTAGGAATATCAGGGTGACCTTTTTTCTAAGGCGAATCAAAGAGTACGTATGAATTTCCCAGACTGTCGAAGTTTAACCAGGTTCATTTCCTTATTTTTCCACGACGAAGTTTGTGAAGCAATTCAAGGCATAATATTTAAATTAAATAAAATATTAAATAAAGCTTTTGTCGATATTAAAATTCTGTTATTGATTGAGCCCTTCTCTTCTTTGTATTCTAGATTATCTTGCCCTATAGTGTGAGAAAGTTACTCTGAGAAACAGATGCGCTTCAATTCAAAACACACAGTACCTGACTTCATTTTTCAGCTCTCAGAATGTACCGTAAAAAAGACCAAAATAATGCTATAGTTGCTTAACAGAGGAATTAGTCGCTTGTGTTTTTTTTTCCTTTTCGTAATGCAATTGACCAAGCTCATTAAAAATTGAATAAAATATGAGAACTCCCCAGCAGTAATTTTGGCCAATGAATTTGATCAGCTACTTCATGCTATCTATTCTATATTATTGATCTCATTGCAAATGTTGGAAAAAGACAATTAAAAAAAAAGATAAATTACGTGGCATGACTAGTAGGTCTAATCTAATTCGATATTGAAAGGCGAAGTTGAATACTTTCATCTCTCTCTCTTGTATTTCCAACCAAACAACTGTTTTTTTCTGTTGAAATTCTATATCCCTGAATGTCAATTCACAAGGTGAAAGGTAAAGAAACATCCAAATCTCAAATGAGTATGATTCAAGTTCCAAAAATCACGCTATCTTGCGCATGCGTATATTCGAACTCACCTAACGTACCTAGTTTGGTGTCAAGTCATTGTGTTTTTATATATAACATTGACCGTTTAATGACAAATTATCCAACATGAACGATCTACATTTGCTTGTCATATGAACGTGACAGCATTGGTGGCAGACAGGATGTCAAGTATCAGCTGTGTCGGTACTGATGCCATGCTGGTACTGATGATTGTGGGAGAAACGTCAATTCGGTCGAACTGCACTTGAACGATCGGGAGGGGGGAAGAGGGAGGGTTGTGGAGGTTATTATGCGTTATGATTACGTCCCTTAAATGATTTATTGTTGTTCGGATTAATTGTGCTCATCCAATTCAATGAAGCAATATGAATGATTGTAGAAGACAAAACATTCAATGTTGCAGTGTGTTGCTTAAACAAATCGATGGACGCACTCGAACTTAGCAGTTTGTTTGAGATTGAAAGTAGCGTAGATTAAACATGGATTATTGTTATTATTGTTGTGCCACGGTCTTGACCTTATTGCCGAAACGTAGAAATTAGATATTTTGTGCAATGCCACTACCGAGTTTTTTGAAGAAAGCATCAAGTTTTATTTTAGGAGCTCAAAGTGGTATCCCCGCACCACCTTTCAATGAGGGAGAAGTAGTATTTTGTATGTTTTCTAAAAACTCAATTTTAACAACACAAATATTTATGTATTACTTATCCTTCAGTTCATTCAACATTAATTGATTTAATATTCTTAGTAATTAACTGTAAATATTACAATAAATACCTCATTTTAACAGGTAAAAACAATGTTTGTGTTCATCCACCTACTCTACTCAGGCAAGATTGTGATGTTGTGCATCATCCTGGATATATGACTGTAACATGTCAGCAGAGTACAGATATAAATAAGCTTACTTTGCACTTGAGTTGGATTCCCAATTCAACTTTGAGACGGAACCCTTGGGCTATAGAAAAACGGTGTAGTCTTTTGCAAAGGTATTATCATCTGTCGAGGGAGTTGTTCATAAGAGTTTTATATACTAGTTTCTCATCTTGATGTTTAATAATTTTACAGTGGCGAAGATCAGAGTGATGTTTTGAGCACTTGCAGAATTTCTCCCTCAAATGGAAACAATACTCCACTTTCTCATGTATTCCATTACCCCCAGCCATTGCCAGAAAATTCTGAAGCACAATGTAATTGCCGTGGAGCACCCCATTCATTGGATAACAGTGGAGTAGGTAATATATTTTGTATGTTTAATAATCATTGCACCTTTCAATGCAGTAAAAATACTTTTAAAAACAGAACATTTTGGGGGAAAGATGAGAATTCCGAGTTGCAGAAATCCCCTGATAAAAATCATGATAATTTGAGTAGTTTAAGTTCTCTTGAAATTTGTGAAGATATTCAAGCAGAGAATCATTTGAGACAAATACATCTAGATGGCTCTTTGGAAGTACATGGAAATTCAAAAGGAATAGAAGAATGTTCTGAAACTGAAAGACCATCTTCATTAAGTTGTAATAGGGAAGGAATTAAAAATACTACAAAACATATGGAAGAAAATGAATTAGAATTAAAAACACCAGTCACTATTCAAGATTCAAGTTTAACCAGTAGTTTAAGTGGTCCAACTATAAGTGTTGATGAAAGTAAAACTCAGGTCAGCCCCTCACCATCTGTTTCATCAACATGCAGTTTGGCTGTTCCTTTATCATTTTTAGGGGCAGGGACAGGTAAATGTTCTGTAAATATTCAATTTTGAACCATGTATTTCTAATGAGTATGCATGTTATAAATAATCAGAATTTAAATCTTAATTTGTAATATCTCTTATGTCAGATGACATTCCGACTTGGATGAGTTCCCCAGAGATGCTAGCTCTGCAACACAATCTTACATTCCCAGAAAGTGCTACAGCTTCTCCTGTTGTTAGAAGAACTCACAAGTGTCGAAGATTTTCTGTAGATCTCAGTGAGTTAAAGCATGTAGATATGTCAGTAAATAGATTATTTTATGTATTATATAATGCTAGATTTTTGTTCCATTCTGTTTCTTTAGGTCAAATGCGATCATTGAGATTATTCTTTAATGATCCTGCCTGTACTTGTGGTCAATTAGTAGTTGCTTCCAGGGAAAGCCAATACAAGATTTTGCATTTTCATCATGGAGGCTTAGATCATTTGGCTAAAGTATTACAAGAGTGGAATTTCTTACTGCATTCACCCCAGCCTTCAGGCGATGATCATTTGCCATACAGACATTTTATGGTCTGTCGGTAAGTTTGAGACTGCGAGGGTGTAATGACTCATTCAGGAGTTCAGAATTGTGTTGAATGTATTATTTTCACTCAGACCAGAAGTGGGCCAAGATGAATTACATCCAGAAGAAGGACTTGTGCCCCCTGTTGGAAGGGATATGTGGATAAATTTACTCAATGAAGAAGGACAATTGGAGGATGATTTGACTCTTCGTAAAGTAATTTCTGTTTTAACTCAATCAAAATGTAAGACAGTTTCATTTTAGCAATATATCATGTTTTGCGTTTCAGGGAATATTCTTTGGAGGACTTCAACCTGAGATGAGGAGCACTGTGTGGCCTTTCCTTTTGCATTGTTTCACATTCCAATCAACTTTTGAAGATCGAGAACAAATCGTTGCTATTCGTAGACAAGAGTATCATGAAATAACGTAAGCTTTTGGGAGAAAGAAATCAAGAGAAATCCTCTCCAGATTATTGTAAAATTCATGTTATTATATACTTTTTATTGGGCTCATGCTTTAATCATAAACTTCAGCTAGAATGTTGAGAATTTTTATGCATTTTTCCCAAAAGAGCATAAATGATTAACCTTAGTTCCAAGAAATTATGTATCCGGTCTCTTGTATTGACCACTTGATCCTTCTATTACTATTCTAGAAGGATTAAAGGGGTCAGTACAAGAGATCAGATACATAATGCTTAAGAACTAAGGTTAAGAAATAGTTAAGTGGGGGCTGTTCTAAATAAATTAATTTATCTACTTAAAAATTGGAATAGTGTTTGTTTATTGTAGTCATTTTTTCTTGAAATAGCTTTTGTGCTCTTTTGTGAAAATAAATTTCATGTCAATATTTGAGAAGGAATGCTCTTCTCTTCTTTACACAAGTGATTTAAGTTGTCTTGAATGAAGAACAATACACTTTCATGTACTTTAAACGGCACAATTCTATAGTAGCTACGATATATAAGAAATAATCGAGTGCAATAATTTTTTTGCAACTCTGTGGAAGTTAAAATTTAGTATGATATTAACCTACTACACTTATGTGTACTAACTATGAGGTGTTTTATTATTTGAAATCATCTGTGTGAAAGTTATTAAAGTGTAGTTTTCATTTCAACCTTAATTTCTTTGGCAGTGTTATAGTTGTTACATTTTAAAAAGTTCTTTATGTGTCATATGTTATTAGGCGCAGGCGTTTGGAAATGGATGGGGAAAGCAAAGAAAATTTTTGGCGTAATATTCAGTGTGTAGTAGAGAAAGATGTTATTCGCACAGACCGTGGTAATCCTTATTTCGCTGGTGATGATAATCCACATGTGGAAGATATGAAGTAGGTACTCCTACACAGGTCAAATGTAGTGAAATTGTATAATTATTATTATCCCTACGTCCCTAGTAATTTTTTTAGTCCACACAGCCAATAACGCATATTAACAAATAAAATTTTTGTAGTAATGAAAGTCATTCAACATCTTAATTGAATACATTATAAATAACTACGAATTAACCAATAAAATATTTAATTTAATTGTTTTCCTAAAAAAACTTGTCATTTATGCTGAATTTAAATTAAATTTTATATATGTGTGTGTGTGTATATGTGTGTATATATATGTATATATATGTATTATATATATATATATAT